GTTTTTTTTTTTTTTTTTTTTTTAGTTTTATTTGTTTAAAAGGAAGACAGTGATATTGCATTGGCAAATTCCTTATAGAAACAAAGAGTGGAACAAAAAAATAATAAAGGCACCTCAACTTTTCCTCATTTATGTAGGACAGTCTTATAATATGCATCCAGACATCCTCCAATCACACAAGCTGTATGGGAACCAATCCTGTCTGTGTTCTGTGCACATCCAAAATTCCTGCTGAATGACCCACCCTGGGAGCGAGTTACCAGTGACCCAGGGCTGGGACAACAGGAGGGTGCAGGTTGTGGGGGAGAGCCCAGGGCTGGGGTGGGGGGCAGCCAAAATTTTTTTTGCTTGGGGAAGCAAATAACCTAGAGCCGGCCCTGACTGTTTGGATCATTAGCTCCCCTGACTGCGGTCAGGCACTGGCGGGTGGCGTGACCAGGACGCTGATCCATTGCCCCCAGGTTAGGTGATGGTGGGAGACTCGGTTCTGCAGCCCTACCCCCCCCCCCCCCCGCGCTTGTGTGCAGTGGGGCTGTGGAATAGCCAGCCACGTGGGTCACAAAATCCAACTGGGTTGAGACACTCTGTGTTGGGTGAAAGTTCCCCCGGGGCTGAGTGAGGGCTGGGACTGAATTCTCCGCCCATGCCCCTTCCCAGTCATGTCCGGCTCCGCTGAAAAGTGCAGGGAGCAGCGGGAAATGTGTCGTGGGAAGTTCGGACGTGGATCGGGCCCCAAGTGCTGCTTTCTTTACTCCCTGGAAGCCTCCCATTCGTCTCAGTGAGGCTTCTGGTTTGAGGACAGCTGGTAGCGCTCAGAGAAGGGTCTATGCTTTGAACTGCAGGGGGCTGCATCCCCCTCTGGAGCTGTGCAGTGAAAACATGACGGAAGAAAATGTTTTAGGTTATTTTACTCCTTTTGTTCTTTCTCACGATTGTGGCCAAGGCTGTGCCTTTTGCGCCACTGCTGCCCCCGCGTGGCGCAGGGTGGAAATGGGATTTCTTCCGCTCTGGTTTTTGTATTAGCATTACTAGGCTTCATCTCACTGTGTGTCTGGCACAGTGATACCGGGCGGTGTCCTCGGGCTTCAGGCCGGTCATTTGCAGATACAGCAGGCTGTTGGGATTGTCCCTGGAGATGGTGAATCGCCCTTGAACAGCCGGGGAATACCACTGGTTGGATGCATCGGGTCTAATCTGAGCCACCCACTCCAGCCCCTTCCCGGGAGCCTGGCGGAACCAATCCATGTAGTAGCTGCTGAAAGTGAACCCGGAGGCTTTGCAGGAGAGGCGGAGAGAGTCTCCAGGCTTTTTCACATCCCCTCCGGACTCCACCAGCTGGACCTGCGACCGGACACCTGGGAATAAAGACAGGTAACAAATATTGGTATAAAACCAACAATAATATAATATTCGTTTAGCTCTGCCAACGATTCAGTGGAAAGAATACCTTCCAGAGCCGCCATAGTGAACATTAAAAGGAGCAAAAACCGCATTTTCGCTGGTGTTGGAGAGGAAAGTTCTCAGGGCGGGTGTCTGGTGACCGCACAGACCCAGGGGGCTGGGGATTGTGTTCCCAGGTGCAGCCTGGGCAGAGAGAGAGAGACAGATTTAACAGGAAGCTCTCACCGTAATTTACATATTTCCCCCTTTATAAGCTGTACAAACATCCGAATGGCTGTAACTAAGGCTGAGAGGGGAATTTGTCTGTGTGTCTGTGCAGCGCCTAACAAAGAGCCCTGGGGTCTGGAACAGACTTGTCCCGAAGAGAGGAATTACGAGTTTCCAAGGTTCTAGGGCTTGACTCGAACTTCACTGCAATCCACACAAATCCTCTTCTTAGGTTTGAGGACGTTGGATCAAAGCCTGAAGGAGGATACTCTCTTTGCTAGAGAACAAGACACATGCAGTTCATGTCTTGGTCAGAGGGGTATGAAAGGTAAAGGGGTCCTTGAAGATTGTGTTGGAATTATAGCTGCAGGCTTCCCACTTTTATCCTCTAGGGCAGAAGGAAAAACTTTTTCACTTTGGTCCCAGTTTCCATCGTTGTAGCTAGCGGCATGAAAACTCCCTGTCAGATCTTCCCTTTGTGCCACTGCTGCCCTCTCCCGCTTAGTGCGATCCATGGACCTTCGGGCGGCTGGTTCTTGTATGACACATACTAACTCTCCCCTCGCTGTGTCTCTCGCGCAGTAATACACGGCGCTGTCCTCGGGTTTCAGGCTGCCCATGTGCAAATGGAAATTGGAGCTGTCCTTGGAGGCTGTGAATCGGCCCTGGATTGCCGGGGAGTAGCTGTTGTCAGACGGAGAATAATAGTAAATCAGCAGCTCCAGCCCCTTCCCGGGAGTCTGCCGGATCCAGAACATGTTGCCCATACTGCTAACCCCACTCACTGCACATTGCAGCCTATGGGACTCTCCGGCCTTTTTCACCGCGGTCCCCGACTGGTCAGAACCACCTGCGAGCGGGCCCCTGCGGGGAAATGAAGAAAGGGAGATTGCACGTTACATTCATAATGTTAGACAAATAACGGGTAATGCGTGAAAGTAGCGAACCCAAACCCAGCTCTCAGGAGAGCGCGGCCAGTGCAAGGACCAGCTGTACCAGGGGGAACACAGCCATGGAGCGGTTCGGGGCCGAGCTCAGGTGGGTCTGGTCCGAACTGGGGTCCCTGGGACAGATCCGGGACTTTGTGAGTGCGGAAAGTCTGCGGGTTTTTTTTTTAATCGGACGAGCGAGGTCTCCGCTTTGCATATCTCTGGCAGGAGGGTCTGCCACAGGGTGAATATGGGATCCACCCCCTGAGAGAGCTCAGGAGAGTCATTGCCCTGGGGTGAAGGGGGAGCGTGTGTTACGGTATAGAGAGGAGGGGGGAGATGTTGGTACTTTTGGTGTCTCTATGAGGTTGACAGTAGCTCTGGGGTGGCAGGGGTTAGGTATAGAGGGGAGGGGGAGAAGGCGCTCATGCTGGGGTCTCTAAGGGGTGAGCTGACGTGGGTGGCAGTGGGGTTCGGCACAGATGAGAGTGGAGCAGGCCGGCTGTGGGTATTTCTATGGGATAATTGGTTGTGAGGGTGGGTACAGACCGGAGGGGAACAAGCTCTGCTGCTGGATCGTTCTCGGTGTGGGTGCAGTGCGGGTAGATTTAGAAGGGATGGGTGCAGCTCATGGTGTGGGAGTCTTTATAACTGAAAATGAAAACAGTTTATATGGCAGAGAACTGACCTAATATTGTAACCCAGAGTCCCTCACTGCAGCTACTAGCTCACAGCCCGGGTGGGCTTGGAGGCCAGGTCTCTCCCCCTACAAACACTCCAGATCATCCTTCTCTGCACGCTGCGTTAGGACACGTGTACGTGTGTTTGTGCGTCTATGTATAGGAGAGAGAGAGAGAGAGCAGTTAGATCACTGGTTTGCTGAGACCAGTGCCTGTTATGCTGACATATTATCTCAGTTCTCTTGTGGCATTCCATCTGTTGTCTCGTTTTCTACTTAGTTAATAAAGGCTTGGGGGCAGAGATCCCATATTAACTGGAATCCTAATTGCTTTGTAACATTTTAAAACTCCCAGCGTACAGCCTTTAATTCTTTCCAGAAGAACAGACACTATTGTGAAGGGGTTGTTATCTATTTCTAAATGTAGAAATGGCGCCTTTTCTTAGAAAAACTCTTTCTTTTCACAGGAACCTAAGATAGGCATCCAGAACCCATTTGATAAATAGCACCCAAGTGTTTATTAGAGTTTTTAACTGTTTGAATAAAAGGTCCAGATCATCAGCTGGCATAAATAGGGGTATCTGCTGTATTGAATCTAGTGGGTCTGTGATAATTTATTCCAGCTGTGGTTCTGCTCTCCCCATGTATGTATGTCTTAAGATCACAACAACCAAAGCTGTGTGAAATCAGAGGCAAGTTTTCTCACTGGTTCTGAAGGGCTGTAGATCAGCCCCGTCACACATTTCTGTTCTCTGAGGTGACAGCCCCTGTCCAATGTATCGGAGATAGAAATGATCAGGAGAAGATCGAATGTTCCCCTGCTACCAGGGGAGAGTGGCTCTTATAACAGGAATCCCAGCTGAGCAGGGTATATGGGGGACTCCGATGATCTCTGCACTGCAGACCCCAGTGCGGCTATGTGCAACAAGGGGTGACATTGCCAGGGAACTACAGCAGTACCCCCATCCCCCGACACACACACACACACACACACACACACACACACACACACACACACACTCTGTGCGGTTTGAACGCTGAGATCCGCTTTCCTGCCTGTGCCAGGGGCTGTATGATTCGTTTAACTACTGCCCCCGTGTGGCGCACGGGAGAAGGGACAATCCGCAGCCTGGGTTTTTGTGTTAGCAACAATAGGTCTCATTCCACTGTGCATCTAGCGCAGTAATACAGGGCCGTGTCCTCGAGTCTCAGGCCGGTCATTTGCAGGTACAGCAGGTTGTTGGAATTGTCCCTGGAGATGATGAATCGCCCTTTCACTGAGTCTGCGTAATATTTTTGGCTCCCATCATAATTAATGTTTGAGACCCACTCCAGCCCCTTCCCGGGAGCCTGTCGGACCCAGATCATAGCGTAGCTGCTGAAGGTGAACCCGGAGGCTTTGCAGGAGAGGCGGAGAGAGTCTCCGGGCTTTTTCACATCCCCTCCGGACTCCACCAGCTGCACCTGGGACCGGACACCTGCAAATAAAGATACACTAGAAATCGTAAGAAGAGCTTTAACAAACCTTCTGCCTCCGAAATGTGTTTACAAGGAGAAAATACCTTCCAAAGCTGCTACAAGGAAACCTAAATGGAGCCAAAGTCTCATTCTCCCTGGCCTTGGAGGGGAAAGTTCTTAGGGAGGTTGGCTGGTAACTGGACAGAACCAGGGGGCTGCGGATTGTGTTTCTGGGTGCAGCCTGGGCAGAGAGAAAGAGAGAGAGATTTAAACAGGAAACTGAGACCCATATTTGCATATCCCGCTCCTTTATAAGAAGCACAAACTCCTTCCCTGAGTGAGCTCACTTTCTGAGTCTGGGGATTCAAGAGAAGGATCAGAACCAGTCACTAAAGAAATAAGGGTAGGAAGAGATTTGACTCCCTGGAGGGTTTGGTTGGCTCTCCGCTTTGGTATTGCCCCAGCTGCGTTCGAAAGGCTTGGCTGCAGGGCCGGATTTACCATTAACCACACCATGCGCTGGCATGGCCCCCAACGACAGGGGCCCCCAAAGGAGGCAGTGCACCAGGGCTCAGGCAGGCAGGCTGCCTGCACACTGTGGCCGGGGACCCCACACAGGTCCCGGAAGCCGCTGGCTACTGGCACGTCTCTGCGAGTTATGGGCTAGGGAAAGGTGGCTCCATGCACTGACCCCACCCCAGGCAGCGCAGTAAGACCCACTGCTCCCCTCCCCCCAAAAGGCACGCAGAGACGTGCCAGTAGGAGCGCAGCAGGGCTAAGGCGGATCCCTGCCTACTCTGCCTCCCTCCCTCCGTGCGATGCTGCTCTCCGAAGTGGCAGGCGTGTTCCTGCAGCCCCTGGTGGTGGGGGTCTTGCCCCTGCCCCGAGTGACAACTCCACAGCTCTCATTGTCTGGGAACTGAGCCAATGGGAGCTGCAGGGGTGGTGCCTGCTAGCAGCAGTGCACGGAGACCTCCTGACCCACTGCCTAGGAGCTACTGACAGAAGGGAGGGATAGCTCAGTGGTTTGACCATTGGCCTGCTAAACCCAGGGTTGTGAGTTCAGCCCTTAAGGGGGCCACTTAGGGATCTGGGGCAAAAATCAGTACTTGGTCCTGCTAGTGAAGGCAGGGGGCTGGACTCGATGACCTTTCGAGGTCCCCTCCAGTTCTAGGAGATATCTCCAATTATTATTATAGGGGTGTGCGGGTTGATTTGGGAGCCCAGCCACCCAAGGTAAGTGCTGCCCCCTGACTCCCTACCCCAGCACAGAGCCCACATCCTGTACCCAAACTACCTCCCAGATCCCTACTCCTGAACCCCAAGTCCCTGCCCCAATCAAGGTACCTCACTTTCTTTTCTTTTATTTCCTACTACTTATAATATAGGAGGAGGATGAAGAAAAAATATTGAAACACGGCGGAGGTAAGAGAAAATGTTCTTTTTCTTGGCTGAGTCTCCAGTGGGGGCCCGAAACCATAGCTGCATACGGGCCCCACTAACTAAATCCAGCACTGGACTAGATCGACCCTGCTACTGCAGACATTTGGGTAAAGAGTGTTCTGTAGATCTGCAGATTAGACTCTTGACACTTTTCTTCTTTAACTGTCCATGGATGGTTTCCACCTTGGACAGCTCCTTCAGTCTAACTGGTCTCCAAAGATGGACTATGGGTGAATAGCAGCACCTTGTGGCCATTTCTTTGAATTACAAAACCAGGCTTAAATTCTCTCTTTGCACTGGACAAGCACAACCTATCTATCTATCTATCTATCTATCTATCTATCTATCTATCTATCTATCCCCAGACACCCCCCTCTGGGAGGGGGAGGGGGAGAGAGAGAGAGATCCCTCAGTCACTTGTGCCCCACAGCTGGCCATGGTCTGTGGTTTGCAAGCGATGCCTGCCCCTCCCCAGCCCTGTCAGTTTTTGCTCTGCTCCGCAGCACAGCTGTGGCACAGTGGGGACTGGAAGCGCAGTAATACACCGCCCTGTCTCGGAGCTCTGCGCTCAGGATCCGGAGGGTGAACCTGTTGTTGGAGCTATCAACTTTCCCTACGAAGCGGCCCTGGAAGCCTTCTCCATAGTGGTCCCCTTCTCGGTAAATCCAGGTCAGAGGGCCCCGCTGCCCCTTTCTGTACCAGTACATCCAGTAGCTGCTCATCTCCCCGCCCTTCACACTGCACTGGAAGGTCACTTCTTCACCTTCCCGGACTGCCAAGGCCTGGGCACCTTGTTCCAGCACCACATCACTCCCGACTGCTGGCGAGACAATAAAACGTACTAATAAGGCAAAGAGATGAA